GAAGCTGCATCCTCCCTAAGCCAATGGATTTGCCTAGAAGCCTCCAGCTCACTCCACTCTCCTTCCCTCCACTCAGGGCACACTCCTCACTCCCAGAAATGCTGTCCATTGGGTGGTCCAGCCCAGGTCAGAGGCTGGGAGCAGCTGAGGCTAGCTGAGGGGTGCCGGAGACCTGAGAGTTTTTAAACCTTAGGAGGTCGGAACTGAAAGACTCTTAAGCACTCGTTAACACAATCACTCCTTTTACACACAGGGACACTGACTTGCCCGGAAGACAAGGACTTTTCCCAAAGTAAAGTGAAGTGGATCCAAATCTGAGTTAAAAATATATCTAACCCTGAAGTCTCAGAGAAGTAAGAAAGAGCAAAGGCAATTTATATATATATATATATAAATATATAAATATAAATATATATATACATATATACATATATATATAGTGTGTGTGTGTGTGTGAGAGAGAGAGAGAGAGAGAGAGAGAGAGAGAGAGAGAGAGAGAGAAACATCAGCATTTGAAAAGAAGTAAATTTGCCAAACAAAGGGGTGTGGAGGGGGGATGATGAAGAGGAAAAGCACTCAAGGATTGGCTCACCAAAATTTAATTTTTATTCTTTTGATGGGTTTTGGTTGCCTTTGCCCACAACTCACAGTGTGAAGAGCCCTGGGCCGAAGGGTCCAAGCAGCTAGCTAAACTACGACCAGGGCAGCACTTCGCTCCACCCTGCTCTACAGAGATCCTCTTTCTTCGGGTTAAAAAAAAGAAAAAGAAAGAAAGAAAAAAGAAAACACAAAACACCCACAAAAAAACACAACACACAGTTAACCACCTGTCAGGGCTGAGGATACAATGAGGCTCCTGGAAAAAGAGCTTTTCATGCATGCGTAATATATTTGTTCAGCTATTCACTTAATGAAGCTGATAAATGTGATGCAAGACAATAGTCAAGTTAATCTATTTAGTAAAATGTTTTGAGACTTTCAGGCTACGTTAAGGAGGGGAGCTGCCGGCGACATTTTCATTTAAATGCGCTCATCTCCCCTCGTAGGCTGCACAAGGGGGTTCAGGCAATCTATGTGAATATAATTTCTTATAAATGTGTCTTTAATGGGTTTAATTCACCCTTGCCAGCTGTTTTGGGGGCTATTTTGTAAGAGCAAAACAAACGTTTCAGGCTTGCAAAGCTAGTTAAAATTAGTTTCGGTCAGCGAGGCCAAGCTATATTTCCTGCAAACCATCTGCTTGATTGGCACAATAGAAGGATTTTCAAGGAAAAGGGGGGTGTGAGTGTGAAAGGAATGGGGGTGGGGGGAGATGCTAGAAAGGGCTGGGCGGCCGGTAGCTCCTTGTGGCCCATTCTAAAGGTGAGCCGTCAGCGGTGTCTTAATAGAGCGGCTTGCCTGGACACTGGGGCGGTAGGACAACTCTTTCAGCCCAAGCCTCGCTCTCCTCCTTTGCCTAGCGGGTCTGCTCTCTCTTTCCCCCTAAAACCACAGAAGCCAGGCGGCCGGTGCTCCCCCCTCCCAACCCCCCACCCCAACGCCGCTACCCGGTGTCCTGCCAAACTTGCAATATCCGCTCTGTTGGAAGCTCCAGCCCGCTATGCGAAGTAGAACCTCAGGGCCCAAACCTTCCCTAACTTAGTCACTGCGTCTTTTCGGAGGACCGGGAATCTCAAGCCGCTCTCTATTTTGCAGCGCCTTTCACCTCCCTCCTGGGCCAGCGCTCGCCAAGGGCGCTCCCGGCTCAGCCCACTCTGAGGAGGGTCTTGCGAGCAACGAAAGCGCAGCGCATTGGGTTGGGACGCTCCCACTCTCCCCTGTCCTGGGGGAAAGAATCCCTCAGAAGCGGTTCTGAGAGCCCTTCCTGTGGGTCCAGGGAGCCCCCCAGGAGTCCCGCCCGCTCTGCTGCGGCCTCCCGGGCCCAGCAAACGCGCTCACGGCACTGGCTAGGATCCGGATAGGGCCTGCGATTCTCTCTTTTCCTCCCCTGACTTCTTTTCCCTTGAAAAAGAAACAGTCAGCCCAGTGCTGGGATAGAGGGCGCGAGTGACTTCTCCGACATAAACTTGAAGATAACGACATTACAATGAATGGCAGGGCGCACAACCCATGGGCTCAGGTCAAACCGCATTAGTCACAGGTCTTAGCCGCAGCCGCCGCGCCGCGCCGCGCGGCCCCTAGGCTATCCAGGAGTTTCAAAAGACGCGTTCAAGGAGGTCACGGAAAGTAAGATCCTTTCGTCCGATTTCTGGCTTCCTTCGCATTTATTTTGCCTTTTCACGGGCGGCCAGCCCTCTCTCCCGTCCTCCCTGTTCGTCTTTGGCGCCTTAGGAATGCTTGCAGACCGCTGGAAGTGGGGTCCACGTGGATGGCAGTAAGGGGTTGACCCACATTCCAAAAAAAAAAAAAAAAAAAATGTCAGCGCCCCCTTTCCGGAGAAGAGAAGAGGGCAGCGGTTAGTCTGTAATGAGGTCGAGTGGCCGTGTGTGTTTGGGGTGGAGCGTGTCAGTGGGCAGGATAATAACTGTAATAGCTATTCCCAGGAGAAGGTCCCAGCGGGAGAGGAGGCCCAGGGAAGGGGGCGGGGGGGGGGGCGCTAGGAAGGCCGCAGGCTGGCTTTGAGTTCTCACTGCTCCCCAAAACAGAACCCTGCAAACACAGACTGTATTCTGATCTCCCGAAGTTGATCAAGCACTTCCTAATTGAGAAACCCAGCACCTGTAGTTGCTGCTCGCCTCCTTCCCACTGCTCCCCGGAGGGAAGAAGAGAAGAAAGGAGGGGAAGGGCAAAACGAAGGGGATGGGCAGCGGGGGGAGGGAGAGAATACAAAAATACAGAGTCCTTCATCTGCCTTCCGGAAAGCAGCTGGGGAGGATGGTGGTGATTGTGATGGAAAACTTGGTCTTGTGGCAAAGTTAAAGCTCAGGTGTTCACATGCTTTAGATTTTTCTCCCTTACTTTACTGGAAAACTTCAAAAAAAGGTAACTTTTAGAGTTCTTCATAGACCTCCCTGTTCCGGGTTCTCCAATGAACTGGAGCCATGTACTTTCCCTATTTAAATAGTCACTTATTTAAAAGTCATTCCTTGCCCTCGGCATTCCCGCAGCCCAGGACGCATCCACTCGAAGTCAGGGGCGCAGACACTCCACCCTTGCACCGCCTTCGAGTCCTGATTCATTCGGCTCCAGAGCCCGCCCCTCAATAACTTTTTAATTTGAATCAAGGGAGAACTTCAGCAGGCTCCGTTTCTGCCTTAATGTGATATAAATCGCAGATGCACTTTTATTGAATGGTTAAAGCAGCGACATGGAGATCATCAACAAAAAAAGAACGCCTCGAACAAAACCATCCGGAGAAATAAAGCTGGTTAATAAGATTTTTGAGAAAGCTTTGTGTTGTTAAAAAGCAAAAAGGAAAACCAGCTGAAGGTGACAGTTAGTTCATGGTTAATAGGATCAGGGAGGCCTGGCGAGGCTGCACACTTCTCTTGGGGGAGGGTCAGCCTCACTACAGAAATGAATGGGACGTTTAACGCATCTGTTATCTCGCAGAGCAGAGAAACCAGGGGATCCAGGCTCAGCGCCCCTTGAGAGGACAGGGAAGGTCTGTCTGCAGAAACAGTCTTGTCTGAGGCCCCAATCAAGGATGGGCTTTCCTGATGTGGACCGACATTCTTGGGAAGCGCGGCCTTCGCTCTGTTTTCGGGCTTTTGTACACGGCAGTTAGTTAAGAAGCTGCAAAACCTTGACCAAGTTAAGCGCCCCTACACGAGTAGGTAGGGCAACTCCCTATCTTCATTACTGTGGCTTTAAAGTTCAGGCTGTAAGTGAATTTCAACGGAAATTGTGCAAGGCTCCTTGCGGTTGTAGAACCGCCTGCGTAGCCCTGGCTGTACTCCGGCCGCCCTGGGTTAGGCAGCTTCTGGCCCAGGAAGCCCTTTGCAAGCGGACACCCTCCGCAGAGAGGTGCTCCCTTCTGCCCGAACCCCAGGCGAGCTGGTTGGTGACACCCCTAGAGAAAAGTGGCTGAAAATCGTTTTTCAAGTTGCTGGGAGTTTACCTAAGGAGACTTTTTTGCCTGCTCAGGTACCCACCAACGTGCTCAAACCCAACGAATTTCGCATAATGAAATAACTCAAATCAAGACCTCTCCTCTCCACTCCTAGAAGCCAGTAGCCCCTAAGCATCCATTTCAACCCCCCACCCCCACCCGGGTTGTTAGAGAGGCACCCACTCCACCCATTGACTCAACCCACCTCTCACATCTGTTTTGTGCCTCAGCTGCAGTAACGTTAAGGACTAGAGACAGAATAGGGAGTATATTTTCATGTTCATTGCCTTGAAATTTTCCGTTGCTCTCCCCCCCAAAGAGGGAGGATTATTTTACTGATTGCCTGGAGGTGAATTTCTATGAATATTTATTGATTTATTTTCTAGGCTCAGCAGGGGAGCTGCAAATAAATTTAGTGCGTCCTTTAAATAATTCCTTTTCTATGAGGCAAGATGTCATCTGAAACTCCTAAATAGGCATTTAATTAGCCCGGCGTTGCTTCGGAACAAAAACTCCCGGCCAGAGCTTTGGGGATGCGCTGTCTTGCAAAGAGGCGGTTGATGTGCAGAATTGATGCGCGCCGGCCTTTGTTGCCGGCCCATTGTGCGGGCGATGCTTATGAAGACTAATCCAATCATAAATTGCACCCCTGCGCCAATCAGAGCGCCCAGAGCCTCTGGCGAATGAAGCTCGAGTGGAGAACTTTGTTGAACTTCATTGTCAGAGCTGTCACTTTTCAAAGCGCTTTAACGGGCGGGCCCCTATAAAACCATCACCTCGACGGGAGGACCAAGGAGGACTCGCAGGCGCCCAAGTGGCAGCGTTCGTTATTTGGAGACTTTTGCTAAGCCCAAGAGAGAGGGTACCGCGGGGGCGGGAGGGGCGGGAAGCGAGGCATTTACCCTTCCGCCACTGGAAGAAGGGTTATTACGCCCGCCTCGCGCCTAACATGATGTTCCCTGGGCTCCTCGCGCCCCCCGCCGGGTACCCCAGCCTCCTGCGCCCCACACCCACCTTAACGCTGCCCCAGTCTCTGCAGTCGGCATTTTCCGGACACTCCAGCTTCCTGGTCGAGGATCTGATCCGCATCAGCCGACCCCCTGCCTACCTGCCCCGCAGCGTTCCTACGGCCAGCATGTCGCCCCCCAGGCAGGGGACCCCCGCGAATCTCACAGACACCGTGGCCTCGGACCTGGGCTGCCCTAGTCCGGGCAGCCGGCGGGGCGGATCGCCGCAGACTGCCGTCTCCCCTGCCAGTGAGCCTACGTTTCTGAAGTTTGGAGTGAACGCCATTCTCTCCTCGGCGCCCAGGAACGGTAAGTGAGCGCAAAAGCCGGCCAGGTGCGAAGTCCTTCTCGCCTCAGTTTCCTGTACGCGGTGGGTACCCACGCACACACCGGCACACCCGGGTGCGCGCGAACCCGGAGGCCTCACGGGAGACTTAGGTTTGGCGGATTCCCGGGAAGAAAAGTCTCCAGGCTCGCCCCACCCTCAGGATGAACTTGAGCTGTTCAGGCGCCAGGAGCGCACAGTTCTCTGGCGCAGCTCAACTGAGCTCGCGCTGCTGGGCGTCTGCCTTTTGGCCCTCCAGCCTCAGGGAGCCAATGTTTTAAAAAAAATTTTATTTTAACCCAAGACAATATATTTACTAGCTTAGTTGGTATATGGATCTGCAATTCTTATCTCACTCCTACCTATTTCATTAGTGCCTAGGATAAGATGGGGGGAGGAGGGAAGAGACAACTCTGAGGACTGTTTTGGGGATGAAAGGAAGAATTTCCACAAATAAGACATGTTAGGAAAATATTAGATTTTATTCTGTCAACACATTGAGGAAGATGCCTTTGAAACCAGCCTAGGGGTTAATCATATCCTGTATTCAATGAGCAGAGTAATCAAGTGCGTGATCAAATTCCCCTTTCTGTCTCCCTCTCTTGTCCTCCTCCCTCCTCTTCCAGAAGCATCCCCCGCCTTGCTCCAGAGTGGCCCTCCCAAGACCTTCGCCTTTCCCTACTTCGAAGGTTCCTTCCAGCCTTTCATCAGATCTTCGTATTTCCCAGGTAGGTCTCGCCCCCCCTCCCCTTCGCGAGGCTGAGCGGCGCCCCAGTTCCAGCCCGTCGCTCCCTGCCCCGAAGCCATATTTCTCTGTCCACCCCTCGGGGTTATGCTCTGGTTCAGAGGTTGCGAGGCGTACAACATTCACGAATCCGTCGCGCCAATTTGATGCCCTATTTAGCACAAGCGGTGACTGCTTGACACTTTGCACCAATTCCCTGCTCTACAAATTAGCAGGAATTGTCATGGTCCCAATTTGAGGCGGTTCCCTCCCCGGCGAGGAGCTGTTGGCATCCCTTCACGCCGCCGTTTTCCCACAGAGTCAGTGCACTTGGCCACGATTCCCCACAAAGGTTTCAGCACCATGACCAATTGGTCAGCTCCTCTGGGCAGCCACCCACAGACCGGCCCTAGTCCCTCCGAACTACCCAGAGACACCTACCAGCCGGGGCTAATTTCCTTTTAAGACTCATTCAGGGCTCTGGGCTTTCCACGAGACCACATGGGGTGCCCTCTTGTGTGGGATGCCTGGGGTCGCCCTGGGCGAGGGAGGCTAGACCCTCCCACAACCCCAAAACTTCTTTATCCAACCTGATTTCTCAACCTCTTCTCATAACACCCCCCCCCAGCCATATTTTTTAAAAGGACCCTTAGGCTGATAAAATAAGTCTGAGGGAAGCCCGGAATTGTTCCTCGTCTAAAAGAGAAGCACCTTCAACAGGTTCCACGAGGTTTTTTATCCTGGAGCCTCAGGGGTGGCTCAAAAACTCTGCACCTGGTCCAGACTCTGAAGGCCACCGAGGAGCCCCTATGCAGAGAGGAGACGGGCATGGTCAGTGGGGGATGGGAAAGCCAGGACCGCACTCCCAACTATCAGCCAGAGAAACAAGCAATTGCTTTTTAAAAGGGGGAGAGAGAATTCACCCACCACCACCACCACCACCACCATTCATGCTGCGGCTGATAATGGAATTTGCTCCCTTTCTCTCCCAACTCAATGCTCTAACAAAAACAACCCGAGCTTTATAAATAGCTTTTCATGTCCATTTAATGAAAATGATGCGGGAGAGAGAAGCCTCTGCCATCAGTATTCTCCCAATGGTCTTGGCCTGCAGTTGTGTTTAGTTTGAAAGTGTAAATCTCTTTTGTCCCGGTAATATATGGCTTTCGCTGCTTGTCCTCAGTCTTTTTCTGTTAGTTCATTACTACACAATTACCATTCACGCTTCATTAGAGTCTCTGTTTCTTTTGGGTCCCCCCCCCCTCCCTTAAAGCGAAACTCTCCCCCTTTTTATCATGCCAATACCCATTGGGAATCGGTCAATGTGCTAATTAGCTGCCACTTTTCATGTATTCCGGCCGAATTCTTTACGTTTTGTGGGGGAGGGGAGGAAAGATTAATATTTTTTTAAAAAGATGAATACTGATTGGGTTTTTAAAAAAAAATCCAAAGAGGATTTTCTCCTCGCTATCGAATCAGTAAAGCACCTCATTTTCATCGAAAGAAGGCAAAAGCCGCCGAGGTCATAAAAGCTTAAGAGGGAAACCCAGTGGCCTCAGCTGGGCAGTTTATTGTTGTGATTTATTTTTGCTGTTGCCGTGTTAGCTGATGTCCGCAGGTTTGTTTCCCTGAGACCGTTGAATGGAAAAAACCGCAAACAGGCTATTGTGGGAGCTGTTTTCTGTGTTTCCGTAGCTTTACCTAATCCGGGTTTGCACGGTTGAAAGGGGACGTTATTTGGGCGGAAAGCGCCTTTCGCTCTCGAAGGTTTGCGGGTTCATGGCCCGTTCTGCGGGGGGGGGGGGGGGGGGGGAGAAAAGGGAGAACTTTAAAGAGATGAAGGGATCCGAGAGAAAACCCGGGGTGGTGACGCTGGGGAGGCAGGTGCCCCGCCCACTCACTCCCCCCCCCCCCGCCCCCCGCCTTCCCCGCGCAGCGTCCTCCAGCGTCGTGCCCATCCCCGGGACCTTCTCCTGGCCGCTGGCCGCGCGCGGCAAGCCTCGCCGGGGCATGCTGCGCCGAGCCGTGTTCTCCGACGTGCAGCGCAAGGCGCTGGAGAAGATGTTCCAGAAGCAGAAGTACATCAGCAAGCCCGACCGCAAGAAGCTGGCGGCCAAGCTGGGCTTGAAAGACTCCCAGGTGAGAGCCCTCCCCCACAGCCCCGTCCTCACGAGCTCCCTCCTCCCCCAGGAATCTCACAATTTTCTGGAACCCCTTAGGTCCCCTTGTGCAGAAGGGGAAAGTAAGGCTTAGGGAGGGAACGCGTGCAGGACCCAGCTTTCTCGGGGCTGCTCGGGACAGCCCACTCCTCTCCCCACCCTACCTCCCGGGACTCAGCGTCCCCCCTTCAAACCCCCCCCCCCCCGCCCTACCACCGTCTGGGCCTGGGACCCGTGGGTGCGGCGCGAGGCGCGAGGAATGGAGGTGGCAGTGAGGGGATTTAATGCTGAGACCCACATCAGGGGATGGGGGACAGGAGGAGAAGGACACAGCCCCGCCCCACGCCCTCATCTCCGAGGAAGTGTCTGCGCTCACCTCGGCCTCTGCCCTGCTCTCCCGCCTCGCACACCAGGTGAAAATCTGGTTCCAGAACCGACGCATGAAGTGGCGGAACTCCAAGGAGCGCGAGCTGCTGTCCAGCGGGGGCTGCCGCGAGCAGACCCTTCCCACCAAACTCAATCCGCACCCGGACCTCAGCGACGTGGGCCAGAAGGGCCCGGGGGACGAGGAGGAGGAAGACGAGGGCCGGGCCAGCCCCCGCCACCGCCTGGCCTATCACGCGTCCCTCGACCCTCGGCACCTGCGCGACCCGCGACTCGCAGGGCCACTGCCCGCCTCCCCCGCGCACTCGAGCAGCCCGGGCAAACCTTCGGACTTCTCGGACTCCGAGGAGGATGAGGAGGGCGAGGAGGAGGAGGAGATCACGGTGTCTTAGAAGCCCCCCTCGCCCGGGGTACTGTTTCTAAGTGCTTTGAAATGGGAGAGGTGGGTGCAGTGGGGTGTTCACTTAGTTCCCGCGGTGGACCCGTCGCCTAGTCCAGGGCGCTCCAGCCCCTTCCATGGCCCATGGGAACATTTCCTTCCCAGGCACCACTCCTCAACAGCCCTCTCCCCGCAAGTTAAATGTAGGCCTTAGCCGCAGCCTTAACTTGTACACAAGGGCTCCCCTCCATCTTTCCTGCAAGCTATTTTAAACACGGTAGGGCGTTCCCTCGCAGCCTGGGTTTAGCTGGGAGCCAGGCCCTGCTGGTCCGTAGCAGCGACAACCCTATGAGGTGGGAGACCCTGTGAGGAGGAGGAAACCCAGGTAGGAGCCGCAACAAGCTTCTAAGTCCAAGATCCCTGACTTCCTAGATCCCTCCACCCCCCTATCTGGGGTAGCAAGGGCCTTCTACCCAACTCCAGATCCTGGTAACCAGTCTTCCCATGACATTGCCCTGAGAAAACTCAAGAATTTCCAAAAAGAAAGAAAGGTATAACATTAACCCTGAGTCTTTTCTGTCATATTCTAAACACTCTCTGGGCAAAGAATTGAGTTCCCTAAATGGGAGGAAGTCAGTCTCTATTTCTGTATGTGTGTGTTAAAGCTTTTTTTTTTTTTAAAGAATTTCTGCATCCATAGTCTATGCACCAAGCACTCTACCTTGTGCCCTTGCATTATTTCTGGGGAGATTTCGCTGACCTGCAAAGCTCCTGAGCACTGGGCATGATGAACAGAGAGAGACCCACAAGCCTCTTTGATATTTTCTTTACCGAACGTTGCTGTCTTTGCACAGCTTTTATGAACTGTACACTATTTTGTACACATGTATTGTATGGATATTTTATACCAAGGTTATTGTGAGTGACTCGAAAGGACTGACTAGATTTCCTTCTCTCTCTCTTTTTTTTTTTTGCAATGGTTTTTAAACTTTAAAAAGGTAGCTGTTTAATTGCATAACTTATAAAGAAATATTTTGTATTTTTAACATGTACAGATTTTTATATATGTATATATGTATCAAATGAACAAATGCCAAATAAAAAGTAGACTGCATCCAAGGCACAAGTGATATTGTTAATTCACAGAACGTTAGAGCTGAAACGGACGAAGTGTCTAGTCTGAGTGCTGCAGGGATTTACAGAAGGTAGGCTGATAGTCAAGAGGGAAGGCACATGTCTAAAGCCACCCAGCTGCTCAGTGGCCAAGCTGGAACTGGACCCATCTCAGACCCCCAGGCCAGCACCTTCTCTGCTTCCCTGTCCCACAAAATAAGCATATTTGCTATGGTTACAAGTAAAGAAGCTCCAGTAAAGTACCAACAAGTTGAGTGGGCAATATTCTTTCTCCTCTTCTCTAAGGACTGAAATGATGGACTAAGAGAAACCACTGAAAGTTTAAGTCGTTTAAGTTTGTAGTGGTTTTCCTTTCTCTCCTTGAAAGCATAGTTCCCAGTCCCCAGAGAAACTCATAGTTGGTCTCGACTTTTGTGTATGAACTGATTTTATTAGGAATACCACCCACAGGCATGACTGGGGTCCAGATCCAGACTCTGGGCCCCCTCCCCCCAAGGGAAACTGAAGTTCTTTAAGAGAGGAAACAACCTGGAGAGTTCAGATCATCAGGCTATAACCCTGCCTGGGGCTTTTGCATCCTTTGAGAGATTGTTTTCTGTCTCATCAGCCACACAGACCACTTTCCTTACTATCATAATCCACTCCCCAACAGTCAGAAAACATGTTAAGCTTAAATTTCAGTAGTCTGTATTATATATGAAGTGTGAATACATTCTTTTCACAATGAACTCTCTTTCCAAATAACACCTCCATGCTGAGGTTCTCATATCCTTCCCTGCTGGGCCTGTTTCTGTTTTCCTTATTCTTTATCATCATGGGAATTTGAAAAAAAAGACTTTGTTGTCATAATTTTTTAAATTCAAGAAACCTCCCACACTTTTCCTTCCATAGGAAAGTGCCGAGCATGGTGTCCTGCACAGGGTCGGCCTATGTATGCCCTTTCAGACAGGAAACTTTCTGCTCTGAGTCAACTCAGGGTATTTCTCCTTCACTCTGCTGTTGCTCTCAGACAACCAGAGATGGGATCCACGTCTCCTCCCTGCCAGCTCAAGCCTGCCATTTTAGTTAGAGTCAAAACCATCTTCAGACATGAGCTGGATTAATGTCTGCATCTGGAGGCAAGCTGTGTTCATTGCAGCATTATCCACAATAGCCAAGAGATACTCACATCCATGTCACTCACTATTTATAGTAGCTTCCTCAACCCAGATGTCCATCAAAAGATGAATGGATAAAGAAAATGTGGAATACACACACAATGGAATATTATTCAGCCTTAAAAAAGGAAAGAAATCCTATCACATGTTCAACAGGTGAGAACCTTGAGGACATTATGCTAAGTGAAACAAGCTACTAATAAAAAGACAAATACTATCTGATTCCACGTATATGAGGTATCTAACATAGTCAAACTCATAGAAACAAAAAGGACTGTGGTTGCCCAGGGGTGGGGTGAGTGGGAAATAGGAGAGTTGTTATTCAGTGGGTACAGAGTTTCAGTTTTTTAAGATGAAACAGGTCTAGAGATCTGTTACACAACAGTCTGAATCTAGTTAGCACTACTGAGCTGCAACTTAAAAATTATTAAGATGGTAAATTTTATGAATTTTTTAAATCTCAGTTTTAACAAGTAAAAAATTAAGTAAAGTGGAAAAATAACTTACATGTTAGAAGAGATAAAATCCAGCAGTGGTCAAAATTATGGCATGTAAGTGAAAAAAATTTGAGGTAGCAACATTATCATAAGACAATGTAGAATTCAAAGCAAGAAACATTATATAGCAGTGGTTCTCAATCTTCCTAATGCCGCGACCCTTTAATATGGTTTCTCATGTTGTGGTGACCCCAATTTCATTGTTACAAATTGAACATAATTAAAGCATAGTGATTAATCACAAAAACAATATGTAATTATATATGTGTTTTCCGATGGTCTTAGGCGACCCCTATGAAAGGGTCGTTCAACCCCCAAAGGGGTCGTGACCCACAGGTTGAGAACTATTGCTCTAGAGTCTAAACCATGGGTCTGTAAGTTATAATCCTTCAAATGAGTTGAAGGATGACTTAGGCCCATGATAGAAAGAAAGAGAGAAAGAGAAAGAGACACTCAAACACCTCTCTCCTCAGATCCAGACCCATATAGTCAACAGCCTTTGGATATCTTGGGTGTCCCAAGAACTTGTTAAATTCCACATGCCTAGGACCAAGTGCCATGTCTTCTAGTTGCAACATTCCATTCAAACAAAACAACAGAAATGAAACCCCCACAGAAACAAAAACCCCACTTTTGTCCCTAACTCCATGAATGCCTTCATTTCTCTTGCTCAAAAATTAGAGACCCAAGTGTCCTCCTGTCCCCTACCTCTCCTTCCCACTCCATACAAGGAATCAACCACTGAGCCCTGTCCCTGTATGTACTTTCTGGTTTTCTTTCCATTCTCATTGGCACTACCTGAAAGAAAAGCTATTCTTCTTTTTCTTTAATGTACCATGAGCTGGATATGATGATTAGCATTTCATATACATTATATCCTTTCATCCACATTATGACTATTTTCAATCCCATTTTCAGATTCAGAGATCTTCCAGTTATGTCCTCTCCCCAGCACTAGAGCATCTGAGAAGGCTTGGTGGAGACATTTGCTCAAAGCCTTGAAGGATGATATGATTTTTATGGGGTAAGAAGTGGGAAGCATATACCATATCATTTTAAGAAATATCCAGAAAGAGCAGAAGGAAGACTGTATCTGGGCCCAGCTGGTGTGGCTCAGTGGTTGAGCGTCAACCTATGAACCAGGAGGTCACGGTTTCGATTCCAGGTCAGAGCACATGCCCTGGTTGCAGGCTCAATCCCCAGTATGGGGCATGCAGGAGGCAGCCAATCAATGACTCTCTTTCATCATTGAGGTTTCTATCTCTTTCACCTTCTCCCTTCCTCTCTGAAATCAATAAAAATATATTTTAATATATATATCTGGAATGTGGTTGTAGACAGTGATGGTGTAAGAAAATGTTTTTACTTAGAGGCAATAAGTTAAAACAAACAGCTACTAAGCAAAACATTTCCAAAATGCTTCTTTTTCCCTTTTTTCAAATATATATATATATATATTATATATTTTATATATATATAATAACAAAATGGCTCCAGAGCCCTAGTGTGCTGGGCATAATGTTGCAGCTTTCATTTGCTCTGTACCTAATTTTACTGCAACCCTGCATGGAAGGCTCAATATCTGCCTCTGACACAATGGGAAACTGAGGCTGAGTAACTCCCCCCCAATTCCCAGAAGGCAGAGAGTCTAGCACATTCTCTTCCCACTAAGGGCAGGGGCACCATAGAACCCAAATCTCCACCCCTTCCCACACCCCACTACTAACTTCAGACTCCACAGGGAGTCCTCTTAGTAAATAGTTACTTCTTCTGGGAAAAGGTGTCTTTAGCTGAATTTGGAAAGGCAGTACTAATTAACTATAAAAATGGCTGTCCTGGCTTAAGACCTACCTAAGTCTAAAACTTTACACTCTCCAAAAAGACAAAATATTTCCTCAATTTTGAGTTGATGGTTTTACTTTAAAATAAATTAAAAAAGACTTTTTAATGCTGATGCGAAAACAAGCCCAATTAAGTGCAATATAGGATCCCAGATGAGATCCTGGAGCAGAAAAAGAACATTAGGTAAAAGCAACAGCAATCTGAATAAAGTGTTGACTTTAGTTAATAATTATGTATTATAATCATGTATTAAGATGGGTTTATTGATTGTGACAAATGTAACATGAAATAAGATGTTAATATTGAAGATGAGTGATTAGTACCCAAGATACTCCCTGTACTATCTTTGCAGCCTTTCTTTAAATCCAAAATTATCCCAAAAT